CGAGCCGAACACGAGCTGTTCACGAACAAAGAGTCCTTTTAACAACCCTAATCATGTAGCCATAAGACAATAAGGGTTTGAGCAAGATTTTAAAATTATTATTTATATTAAAACATCATTTGAATCTAATTTAATATTTTTTATTCTATTTTCCCAATCAATATTTTAATTGGTTATAAATCTTTGTAGCCTTGTAGTCAATTAGATTTTTTTAAAATACTACTTAATATATACATACTTGATGAGTAGTATTTCGAGCCAAAACGAGCCGAACACGAACAAACACATCTTAGTTCGTGTTCAACTCTCTAACTTATCGAACGAAATTAACGAGCCGAACACAAGCTTCTTAACGAGTCGAACACGAGTTGTTCGCGAACAACGAGCCGTTTTGACAGCCCTATGCCCAACTAATTCAATAGGAAAAAGGCTTTCAGTCCTGCAGGAGGCTGGACCACCCCCCTCCTCTCTCTTTTCATTGGGCGGGAATTACTTCCACCTTCTTTTGTTTTCCGGCGGGAATTATTCCCCCTTATTATGTTTTTCTGCCTATATGTCTATTATATTTATGTGTGTGTTGTTGTCCTAGGGTTTAGTTTTTGGTTGATTCAGATTTCAGGTTCTTGTGTCCTGGCGTTTCCCTTGTAGGGTTGTATCCAACGGCGAGAAAATGTTCCGGCTGTAACTTGTCCTATGGTAGTGATTGTATCTTCTCTTATTCTTGTTTTGCCGCTTGTCTGCTCCCTCTCCCTACCACCTGCTGCAGCACCTGTCCCGTGACCCTTGTTGTAGTCTCTCTCTCTTGATGCCTGCTACCGCCTTTGTCGTTGCCATCCTCTCCTTCCCGTTATTGTCTCTAGCAACAAGCCCTCCGAGACTTCTCATAACTTCCCAGCCCTCCCAGACTCGTCGTAACTCCCAGTAGCCATTCCCTATTTGCCACAATTCCCTCCAACTCCATTCCAAATCACTCGTAACTCCTTCCAGCCACTTTTTAAAATGTATCTTACCCGTGTCAGACACGTATCAAACATCGGCACGCCCTGGCACTTCTCCGACACCACAAAATATATGTCTGAATTTTTTTTAGGTTAGAACACGCCCGGGTTACATCTCAACACCGCATCGGATATGAGTTTAATATGATTTTGAGAAAATGGGACACGAAAATTAGAAAATTATAAATATACGTATAGTCTTAGTTATACATCATAGTCAAAATTGATCCATCTCTCGCCATATTGAAGCTCCCTCTAACATTCGTCATAGTCGAGCATCAAAGGCGCGTCAAATATTCGGCGAAACAGAGTATTAGTAATTTCCTCTTTGAAATCATATGATTTTTTAATTTTAGTAGATAAGTTGAGTTATAAGTTTGATGAATTATTTTGAAACATATTATATCTAATTTTAAAGTTTAATTTTTATAAGTATGAGATTTTATAATATAAATCAAATATATGAAGTTAAATTTTATTTATATATAATTTGTATTGTGATGTTTTTGATAAAGAATAATGGAAACATATATATTTTATATTAATAATTAATTAAATATAAAAACATAGGCCATGACGTGTAATATCATTTTTTTTAATTATGTTGTGTTCTCGTATTGTGTTGTGTCGTTTCCTTGTCTCAGTGCCTGTGTTCGTGCTTCATACGATGTAACCCCTACAGTTTCCCTACTACCGTGATCCAGCACCCTCCACTGTTGTTCGTGCTTCATACGATGTAACCCCCTTCCTCTCCATAACTCTTGCTACCCTTACAACTTCCATTGCTGCTCAGCCATGGTTCACTTCTTCGCCGCCGCCTTAGGGTGTATTTTTAAGTTTGTTATCATTTATTTCCTGTTTTGAAGAGTCATCGTTGTAACCCATTTAAATTTTAGCAACAATAATTTCCTTTCTGTTATGGTTTAGGATTCCCTCTGGTATCACTAGAGTTCAAGTATCTCTCTTTATTTAAATGTGGATTAAAATCCAAATTTACTACTCATATGTGACCAATTTAGTCCCAAAGTATCATATTTCTAATTTAGCCCCGTAAAATACTAAATTAATCTAAAATGGCCCCTTAAGGGCTAAACCGGGATCAATTTTTGTATAGCGAATGGAGTTTAGGATAAATTTTGTAGATGAATCATTTTATATTAATTTTGCATATTTGATAGACTAAATTGGAAAAACATGATACTTTAGATGGAAATTTTCCACACATGCAAAGTTGGAGGATTGTTTTTATTTTTATCTATCTAAATGCAATTTTCTCTACAATCTATCCCATCAACAAAATTTAATTATGGTCAAAAGCTTCACTTGATGTACTAGTCTGGTCCACAGTAAGTCTTCTTCATGTCCATCATTTTCAAGCCCTCCCCCAGGTTACTTAGTTTGATTTTTAAAAACTCCTATAGTATTATCGACATCATAATCCATAAGACCCATTTGTGAATAACCAAGATGGGGCTAATTATTGAAGATGAAATGATGGATTATAAATGACAATGTAACTTGGTTGGTGCATTTTAGAGCACTAAGCACAATGTGATGTTTTTTTTTTCTTTTGTTCAAATGGAGAAAGCAGATTGACACTTTTATAAACTCAGGCATTCATACGCGCACTGATATACATACAGACGTATTCATACACTAGTCATTTCTTTAAACTTAAACTACTTTAGGTACTAAATTTTAGCAAATATAATGATATATTAAATAAATACTATTTTTAGCTTTCCAAAAGCTAAAAATAATTAAAAGAGCAGAGTCATAAATAATAAAGTGATTAAAGAATATCTAAAAACCATAAATACTTGTGTTGCACTTGAATAGCTATCTAGAGACGAAGAGGTGCAGGCTTTGTGAAGCAAGAGAGATTGTGAATATGAGATGTAGACAAGTTTTTTGAAAGGATGTTTGTGTGTGAAAAATCATTAGCGCAAGCAACATGAACTAGCAAGTGGTGTATTAGAAAATTAGTAGCAGAGGTAGTGCAACGAGAACAACAACCAAAAAGTGAATAGATTTGACAGAAGAGAATGCAGAATCTGATCACCGACTCATTGAGAATGAGAAATAGTGAGATAACCTGAATGTTCGAGCTTAGTTGTTGTGGCGGCTGCAAAATCATACATAGAATTTGACCGAGAGTTTTTTTGAGTTGAGTGCATTGTGCTATAATGCAAGGCGGTGAAGACATGTCATGCCATGTTTTGTTGCTAGTTTATGTTTCATCGCACATGGTGCATGTGGCTGGTGCATTACTATGCTTTATTTCTCAAGCGTGATTTGAAGTGCGCTTTTAATAATGCTTTCGGTACAAATAAGATGTTACATGCATTCCATTATGCTATAAAATGGGGGAATTTTTAATTTCCTGTAACAGAAACACCATTTTCATTAACCTTATTCCAATTACTTGAGATAGCTCTATGAATCGAAACTATTTTGATTAGTTCTCTTCTCTCAAGAGAAAAGTTAAGAGTTGTTGTTCGCCAATTGTTCTGCAAGTAAACAACACAATCTAAAGTTTTGTGAATGTAAATCTCTACATTTGTTTGCTTGATATTGGGCATCTTTGAGCAAGGCTCTAAATTTTTTCTCCGCACAATCGTATTAGTGTTAATATTTAGTTGCATTTTGCTTGTCATATTTTAAAAAACAAATAGGGCAAATCATTTCTGTATATTTTTCTGTCATATGTTTTGTGGATGATCTTTATACAATTTGGGAATATGTGTGATTGTGCGTTCTTATTAGTTTCAAAAGTTATTTTAAGGATTGAAGTGTTTTAAGTGAAAGTAAGAGTGACACCGATCTATAGTTCTTAAATGGTGTATGGAGATGTTGGTAGAATAAACATAAGGGGAAATTATGAGAACCAACAAGAATTTGAAAGAGGGAAGTGGTGACGGCTGCTTTTCTAGAGTAAAAACAGCAAAGAGGAAGGGGTCAACATCCTGGATCATGATAGATGGACATTAGGAGGTTCCACCACCTGCCCTTGATCATGATACATGCTCGTCATTTGAAGAAGAGTGATACAACATTCATATGGGCAGAAATCCAAAGAAAAAATTTATAAATTGCATAAAATCAAGCAAATGATGTCCTTAAAGGTCTCCACAGATAATAATTATACTAAGACATTAATAAACTCCAATTCTAATTCAAAATAAAGCAAAAAAAGCGGCCTCAAGGGCCAGCACACCTACATGGGTGGAAAAATCCCATAATTGGAAGTCGGGCGGAAATATGCATTTGTCCTTGCCTCCGGATCTCGCATGGGTCATGGGTAGAGATTCACTCACTCTCCCAATTAATGTAGACTTCATCTTCTCTTGTGAAAATTTTTGGATCCTCATTGTATGACAAGAAGCCAACGATTTTAAATTTAGTAGAGTTGGTGTAGTTGCCCGGTAGGCCAATCTAATATGCATTATTATTGATCCTCTTGACAACCTTGAATAGACCATCTGCCCTAGGTTTTAGCTTTCCAAATGAACTATAGGAAATCTCTCCATCAGTTTGATTCACACAAAGTCACCTTCTTTGAAGATCATAAACTTCATAGACTTGTTAGCTTGTTTCTAATAATTGGCTTTTTGCAGAGCAA